AATAATCACGTGGGAGACTAAAGAACTCATGGAAAAGGATGTTAAGAAAGTGTTGCATTTGGAATGGTCAATTGACAGACAGATGATAGCGATAGAGCTAGATTTAGGAGACGACTACGGTAGGTCAATCTAGCTAGCAAGTTTTATCTCATTTTTATACTTCATCTAAAGCAGCAGCTATGTACAGGAGAATTTAGGTCGTTTTTTAAAAATGCATCCCCTTTGCCTCTTTGCTGCGCCCTTAGTCTTGTTTTATACACTTTTGTTGCATCCCTCTGAGCTTTACCCTTGTCCATATGTACAACCTAGTCAGCCCCCTAGCACACCCACTCCACAATGCCAATATCAAACCATAACTATTCATCCAGCAATAAATGAAATTTTCAAACTTTTTTAATTAATTTATAAACACGTATTTGAGATAAATTCACTCGAAAAATAAAAAAAACTACTTCTACATGTTCACATTTTACTTTTTTTTCTGTGCATAAATTTTTTACATAACCTGAATATTAATGAACAAATTTATTTTATTAGATATGAGTGAAAGTTCTCGCATGAATAGTTTAAATATTCTCTCACAAAAGCACGAACTCAGTGCCTAGCTTCAAAGTGCATGTTGTATTATCCTACCGTATTCGAAGCATGAGAACAGGGAATTTTAAAATTATAGTGCTTGTTAAATTAGTTTCAATTACGTGCACAATGATATGCTAATTTTCTTAAGAAATAGATAGCTTTTGAGCTTGAGAGTCGATGAACATTTTCTATTTTTTTATGAATTTATCTTATAAATGTAGGGGAAAGAGGGGGGAGGGGGGAGGTTGAGATAGATGCATGACAAAGGATGCCGGGATAAAGAACACTAATTATGTGTAGCACTTTTTAATTGCAATTTGGACTGAAACCTTACTAATTGGGGGGTCTGTCAGGGGCATAGCCATTAATTCAAAGAGGGGGGGGGGCAAACATTTGGAGGGGTAGCTGCGAATTTATCATAATTACACTAGTAAAATAAAGAAATCTCTTAAAATAAAGGGGGTCCCCCCTGGCTACGCGCCTGGGGTCTGTCAACTATAATGTTCAATCTGAAATTGAAGGTTTTAACTTTAGACTCCCGCTTTACTTTGTTTATCAATGGCAACTTTGAAGCGGAGGAACCATAAGCTATAACCTCAATTTTTTGTAAAAAACGATCAATTCTAAGGACGGTTTGCAAGCCAATCATTTTTTTAAAAAAAATTTAAGTCTTGTTTTTTGTTGCTCGGGTGAGCTCATGTAGCACCAAAAACTAGTCCCTAACTTCACTTCTGTAACTGTACTAATCATCACAATTTTAAATTCCTATCCATAAATCCTTTAGTCAACATAAATTTTCATTTTAAAACCTCACAAAGAAAAACATTCACAGTTATTCAAATCCAAAAACCGACAAGAATAAATAATGGAAGGAAAAAAAATTATTCACAAAGAAAGCAGGAACGAAAAAAAAATCTGAACGAATTCTCTTGGTAAATCAGTGGAAGGATGCATAGATGTATAAACCAAGCAAACAATAACCGACTCTAAGGAATGAAAAACAATAAAAATAAATCAAATGGAAACTATGGGAGTTAATTAGTCTTGCTCGTACAGCATAAATGCAATGAGAGGAAGGAAAGGAAGAGGAAAATGTAAAGTCATCGGGACAGGGTGTGAATGAGCTGTTTTGATATTTACTGGATGATGGTAAAAGGTAAAGTATGGAAAGGGCCCAGGCTTTTTGAGCTGGAGGCACTGCGATTCAAATTGATGGTGATGTTAAAATTGAAAGAAAATTAGCAACAAATTTTTTTATATTAAAAAATTACTGAAATACTCGTGTTATTGATCGAGGGACTTAAGCGTAATTTTGTGTTGGCGATCAGTATTTGACTATCTAATTATTTTGTGTTCACTTACAGATCATGAAAAGATTAGAAGATCATTAATTTTAGTGTAATTAATAAGTTTTACAACGGCTGGAAAAAAATTGAAATTATAGAGGTGATGTTGAAATTATTGAGGTAAAATAAATTTTGGGCAGGTTACACTGAAAACAAAATAAAAATCATTAATTATAGCATAAATACATGGTTTGAAGACTTTTAACCACTCGAAAGGCCGATAAATCGATAGTAACGGAGCTAATAAAACAAACGCGAGCTCTCTACGATGTCTGCTTAAAAAGTTTTTCTTCGCCCGAGCAGCCGAACAGCCGAACAAAGTGTATTATTAAGCTACCTTTAAGAAACAAGTTTCAAAAATGCGCTAAAATGTAAGACTATAGAGCTTCCAACCCCCAAAAGATGAGTTTAGCAACACAAACTTTTTCCAGCACTCACCACAAGGATTCCATTGCCACATTTTGTATCACTAGGGGATTATCGACCACATTAGACTCAATGGAACATACAATTGTAGATTTCCTTTTCAATTCCTTTTTCTATGTTCATTGACGTATCAAGGGGCTGCAACTGGGTTCAGTAGCTTCAAGCTTAACTACTTATAATGTGTAGGATAGAAGAACCTACACTAAAATGACCAGTTGTGGGGTTTTTAAAGGTCATACTTGCCTTCTTGCATCAATTTCTCATTCGAATGCTCCAACACCCCTTCCAGTACATGCATATCTATATAAAGTGTTAAAAAATTCTTCTTCCTTACATCCATTATTGCTATTATTCCAAACAGAACCCACAAGAAACGAGCATAAAACCCCAACAACAAGAATAAATCGTAAATTTTATTTTCAACAAAACAGAAAAATCCATTTGGTAATTTACGAAGATTGGAAAGTGAACATACATTCATATATGTGCGATTTGAAGCGATGATGCGGAAAAATTTATTTCCTGTTTGCTGTATTTTCATTTGAGATACTTTATTACGATTGTAGCTACATGTACTTTTTTTTTCTCGTGTGGCTATTGAACAGCAGTAAACGCAATTTAATGTAACATTTGCTGAAGAAATGATTATTTAATTGCGTAATAATTCATTGTGATAATGAAACAATTTTTTTTCTCTCAACTTTTCATTTCATTGGAAGGTGGATAGACGTTTAGATTTGCGGATGTAGGTGGGAAATGAAGAATAATGATAATGAAAATCTAGGATTAATGGGATGAATTATTGTGAGATGAAAATTGCTTTAAGATTAAATGAATATAGATTCTTTTGGGTGAGAATTGATGTGATTGAGGGGTGTGGAACTATATTCTGTTATACACATTGTAGGGCACATTGTTCTTTCAAATGAATTTAAAAGATTTCTTTCGGTTTTGTAGAATAGAAACCAGGCACGTCCCCCCCCCCCCCTTAAACGTTTTGAACCGAAGCGAGAGCACGGTCTAAAACGCTTAAGAGGAGGACAAGACCCTCCTGGCTACGCGCCTGATAGACACCTAGAATTACCAAAGCCTATATCAAAGGCGTGGAAACTTTCACAGTTATCCGATTTATCCCAATAACATCCCAAATAATCCCTGAGTCTCCTTAAAATTGAGATATCCAATCGAAACTAAGAGCATATGTCCAATCCACTAAGGATTCTTTGGGATATCTTTATTACCGTGCATACAGGCTGAGGGATTATTTTGGATATTATTGGGATTTTTGTGAAAGTTTTCATGCCTTGGATATAGGCTCTAGAACAGTGTTTCTCAAACTTTTTAAGCCGTGGAGCAGTAAATCATCAGTTCATGTTTCCATGCCACGCTGGCAACTTTTTTTCGAAGTTTGTCACAGGCCGTTACCTGTTCACATGTCAAATTTTTTCCTTGGACCTGTGAACAGGTAACGGCCTGTGACAAATGGGCTGTTTTCGTTGACCTGTGACAGATCGCAACTCTGCTTATATTGAACAATAAAGGTCCGCGGAGCGTAGTTTGAGAAACACTTCTTCAGAGTACAACTAGGTTTCACCCTACACTATAACCTATAAAGCACTTAAACTAGTTGGTAAGCTCCAGTGTATCATCAAAAATGAAAGCTAAGGTATAAACCTAAGACTAGATTCAAAAGCTCCCCGAGATGCCATACTCTAGTCTCAGATTTGTTTTATTTGCATCTCATATTGCAACTAATACAGCAACCTACTCATACATCAACCTTTGAAATTGGCTTGAGGAAAATAACGCTTAAATTTATTCATAATTATACTAAGTTGTGTCTAGATTAGGGTTTTTAACCCTCGGGATTGAAATGTATGTAATCCCGGAATCGAACCTTGGATTCAGTGCATTTTATTCTCGGAATCAAACTTGGAATTCAGTGCATTTTAATCCTGGGGATTAAAAACCATAGTTTAGATAAAAGCCCTAGCAAAACGAAAAAATCTCCTTCCCCCCTTGGCTACGCGCCTGTATCCCAGTAAATCTTCAAAATTGCGTCTTTTGAGGAATGGATCGTAAAACTTTAAGACAAATTGATCGAAGGTTTACGGAGCACACTAAGAATCACAACTTTGAATCATTATAATACGTATTCAATCATTTCTGAGCTTGTACACTTAAAAAAGGTTGTTTGAATTCAGTTAGGTCAGAAGTGATCCACCGAATAAAATTGTTTAACAGACAAAAACTTAAACCATGCAAATTAATACAAAAGTTCCCGATATATGTAATTGACTTACTTGTTCCACTAAATGAGTCATTCATAATTTTTAAGTCACATATTGTGTCTATTCTCAATGTACACCTGACTTTAGTGTCATAAAACTAAACGATAACATACCCAATTCAACTGCTTATCAATTTTCTTTCTTTTTCCAATTTTATTTCCGAATTTAATAAAAATACAATAAAAAGCATACATGCACATGTCATTTGACATAAGCACAACAAAATAATGTTAAAAATGCCGAATACAATGTTAAAATTGTTATCAGATTTAGATAAAAAGTTATCAGTTGTGTAAATATGGAACTTACACATTAACACATTTCAAATGTAATCGCATGTAAAGCTGAAATTATAAAGTGAAATTTAGTGTGACAATAGAAGCCATGCGGTTGCGACTTTTCCGTTTTGGCATTTCATTTATTTGGATTGCAGCGGCAATCACTGTTGTGCTGCTGTATGTTTACTACATCAGTGCGAGTCTATCTTTAAAAAAATTAATCTCGAAAGTTAATTTTGTCAGCAGCTATGAAAGGTACGGAGGTGTCAGAATTCTCGTAGGGATGAGCGTGTTTGATCGACAGTGCGATTATTTAAAGAACGATGATAAATGAAAAAAGTGCAAACGTGTCAATAAAACTGCTAGTAGGGTTTTGATGATTGCTTATTTCAGCTACATGGGGCTACAAATCAAATTTAACAGAGATTCCAGAGTTTGGTATACTGATTTTCAGTTCTAGAGGCTGGCTAACACACTTAGCAGTGACTAGTACAAAAGATTTTATCGTCAATCAGTATCGCAAAGCCCCAAGTTCATTGTATAAATTGCTAGGATAAAACCCTCTCACATTAGGGTTGCAATACAGGCATTTGTGCACAGGTGAGAACCGTACAATTTCTTGATAATTTATAAGGTTTTTCTAACAAAAACGTACAAATTCTAAGGGGCCGTTCACTTATTACGTAACGCTTTTAGGGGGAGGGGGGTCTAAGATTTTTTTACGGTTCAAACAAAAGATTTTTTTTCTTCATACAAATTTTGTTACGAGGGGGGGGGGGGGGTTGAAAAGTCGTTTTTTTTGCGTTACTTAATAAGTGAACGACCCCAATAAAACTTCACATATTATCAAGGAATTGTACGGTTCTTGTGCACTGGTGCCTGTACTGTGTAGCCTTACAAACCAGCCCTAAGTGGAAAATAAAGAGAAAAACGCTTTATTAGGGCATCATTGGGGCTGGGGAGGATTTTGGGGACAAACGACGTTAGCAAAAATTTCTTCATTTTGCTAGGAGTTTTATGAAAAAATCATTAAAATCCCCCCCTTCCCTCTGAATTTTCCATATAAATTTTTTTAATGTCCCCCCTCTTTAAATTCCTGGCTCCGCCCCTGCTGCTCTACAACCTAGCATCGCACACTTATTAGTCATTAACATTGACACAATACACCGAAAACATCAAATTAATCTAATCATATTATAGTAATTTATATCAACAATTCAATTTCATTTACAATGTAGCAATCCAGATCTCACAAACTTTTTACCAGACACAATCACACATCATAGTGTAGACAAAAACACCAAAAAAATGTAAGTTGTCAAATAAAAAATATTTATCAAATGTCATTTATTTATTATTAATAAAAACACATGTTTTTTAGTGTACCGAAAAATGATAAGCAGAACAAAACAGTCCAAAAGTTTTTGCACTGTCATGAATTTGACGAAGCGGATGCAACGATAAATACACAAAAAGAGTATCATAATTTCGAATTTTACCCCAAATGGATGCACAAAAAATCAATCTGGACTGACAAATTTGAAAATAAATTCACGGAGCTGTCGAAAGATAAAAATCGACCACCGCTGCATGCTGTTATTATGCCTCACTCCCACAATGATCCAGGATGGTTAAAAACTTTTGAGGGATATTTTCAGTCACATACACATAACATTTTGGATAATGTAGTTAAAAAGCTACCTGGACTTGAAGGCATGACATTCATTTGGACAGAAATTTGCTTCCTTCAACTTTGGTGGGACAATTCAACTGAAGAACAGCACAAAATTTTAAAGCAATTAGTTGATGAAGGAAGAGTAGAGATCATGTCAGGTGGATGGGTCATGACTGATGAAGCAGCTGCTCATATTTATGCAATGGTTGATCAACTTGTTGAGGGTCATCAGTGGCTTAAAACTCATTTGAATGTTACACCTTCAAACTCTTGGAGTATTGATCCATTTGGACATGGAAGTACGATGCCATATCTTTATGGATCTGCTGATTTTGATGGTGCGATTATACAGAGGATTCATTATGGATGGAAGGAGGTGAGTAGAGCAATTGATGACATGCAGGAGCAGAGCTTTGTAATTTGACTTTAATCATTAATTTCCAGTGGCTAGCATCAAGACAATACGGCGACTTCATTTGGCGACCTTCATGGAATACAAAACAAAGTGATCAGCACTCAGTCCTTACCCACAACATGCCGTTCGATATGTATTTTGTGGACAGTTCCTGTGGACCACATATTGATAAATGCAAGCCATATGATTTCCGTTGGTTTGGACGAATTAATGACAAGGAGCTTCAATCTAAGGCTGATCAACTTGTTGCTGAATATTCTCGATCAGCTTCATTATATCCTCATAATACTTTCCTTGCAATCGTCGGTGGAGATTTTCGTTATGAAGTTGATTATGAGTTTGATGCTCAGTATAATTACAAGAAAATTATTGACTATGTTAATGCTAATCCAAGTCGATACAACAATGCTAAACTACAGTTTGGAACGCCAAAGGATTATTTCAAAATAATTAAGGAAAGACATCAAAATTTTCCGACTATGGTTGGTGATCTTTTTCCATATGGTGATGTTTTTACAAATGGAAATGCTGCTTATTGGACGGGATATTACACAACTGTAGGTTGCTTATTTATAAAAGAATTACAAAGGTTAATCATATTGGTAATTTTAGAGGCCATTCCTAAAGATCATCAGTCGAGACTTGGAACACAACTTAAGAAGTGCTGAAATTTTGTACACACTTGCATGGAATAAAGCAAATCAGATGAAGAATGAAAAGTTTACTCTAAGTTTTGAGCAAATCTATCCCAAGCTAGTTCTGGTAAGAGTTGAGAATGGGGAGGGCGATCATTTTGAACTGGTCAAGGTCAAAGTTGTTGATCCTGACCACCAAACCAATATAATGATACTAATTCAAGCGTTTTTAATTCTAGGCTCGTCGAAACCTAGGACTTTTTCAACATCATGATGCCATTACAGGAACGAGTAAAGCCATAGTCATGACCAATTACTTAGAAAGATTATTCAGTTCCTTAAAATACACAATTGAAATTCAAAATCTTGCTGTCGAGCTTTTTATGCAGACTAAAAATTATAATCAGAATTTCTTAAGCAGCTCTTTGGTCAGAGAAAATGCAAATGAAGTTCCTAAGAATCTGGTATTAGATGTGACGTCAAATATTGAAATTGTACTTTATAATTCTTTGACTACCGAAAGGATTGACGTTGTGACTGTAAATGTGAAGAGTTCAAATATTGAAGTTCTCGACTTAAATGACAATCCAGTTCCTAGTCAAGTCAACAGCATTTTCAGAAGGAAGAAAAACTTATCAGATATTGAAGAGATCAAGGACGAATTTGAATTAATTTTCCTTGTAAAATTGCCACCATTGTCACTCTCGAAATATCGCATCAAAAGTGGATTTGCAAACTTATTAGCTGATTCGGTATTTTTCTCTGGAAACAATGATGACGATATTGAGATTGAGAATTCGAAGATTCAACTTTCATTTGAAAAGACATCAGGATTTTTGAAGAGCGTGTCTAGTTTTAGTAGTTTTGATGATGAAAAGATGCAGATTGATTTTGGTGAGTTCATGCTTAGTCATATTATAAATATGAATCGACTGGTATTGGGGTTTGCCCTCTGCAGTGGCTAGTTGAGAAATATAAACTGCGAATTCTGATTTTAACCTTGATGATGAATATAAATTCAGGGGTTGATGTTTAAGAACTACCTGGGGTACCACTCGAATCGAAATGATTACTCTAGAATCAAACCATCTACCCTAGAATCGAACCATCTATCCTAGAATCAAACCAGCTACCCTAGAATCGAACCATCTACCCTAGAATCGAACCATCTATCCTTGAATCGACCCATCTATCCTAGAATCAAACCGGTTACCCTAGAATCGAAACAGCTTCCTTAGAATCGAAACAGCTACTAGAACCATCTCCCCTAGAATCGAAACAGCTACCCTAGAATCGAACCATCTACCCTAGAATCAAACCATCTATCCTTGAATCGAACCATCTATCCTGAATCGAACCAGTTCCCCTAGAATCGAACCAGCTCCCTTAGAATTGGGCCAGCTACCCTAAAATCGAACCAGCTACCCTAGAATCGAACCATCTATCCTAGAATCGAACCATCTACCCTAGAATCGAACCATCTACCCTAGAATCGAACCAGCTACCTTAGAATCGAACCATCTACCCCAGAATCGAACCATCTACCCTAGCTTTGAACCAGCTACCCTAGAATCGAACCATCTACCCTAGAATTGAACCATCTACCCTAGAATCGAACCAGCTACCTTAAAATCGAACCAGCTACCCTAGAATCGAACCATCTACCCTAGAATCGAACCATCTACCCTAGAATCGAACCATCTACCCTAGAATCGAACCAGCTACCTTAGAATCGAACCATCTACCCCAGAATCGAACCATCTACCCTAGCTTTGAACCAGCTACCCTAGAATCGAACCATCTACCCTAGAATCGAACCATCTACCCTAGAATCAAACCATCTACCCTAGAATCGAACCATCTACCTTAGAATCGAACCATCTACCCTAGAATCGAACCATCTACCCTAGAATTGAACCTAATACCATAGAATCAAACCATCTACCCTAGAATCGAACCATCTCACCTAGAATCGAACCATTTACCCTAGAATCGAACCATCTACCCTAGAATCGAACCAGCTACCTTAGAATCGAACCAGCTACTCTAAAATCGAACCATCTACCTTAGAATCGAACCATCTACCCTAGAATCGAACCATCTACCCTAAAATTGAACCAGCTACCCTAGAATCGAACCATCTACCCTAGAATTGAACCATCTACCCTAGAATCGAATCAGCTACCTTAAAATCGAACCAGCTACCCTAGAATCGAACCATCTACCCTAGAATCAAACCATCTACCCTAGAATCGAACCATCTACCCTAGAATTGAACCTAATACCATAGAATCAAACCATCTACCCTAGAATCGAACCATCTCACCTAGAATCGAACCATCTACCCTAGAATCGAACCATCTACCCTAGAATCGAACCAGCTACCTTAGAATTGAACCAGCTACTCTAGAATCGAACCATCTACCTTAGAATCGAACCATCTACCCTAGAATCGAACCATCTACCCTAAAATTGAACCAGCTACCCTAGAATCGAACCATCTACCCTAGAATTGAACCATCTACCCTAGAATCGAATCAGCTACCTTAAAATCGAACCAGCTACCCTAGAATCGAACCATCTACCCTAGAATCAAACCATCTACCCTAGAATCGAACCATCTACCATAGAATCGAACCATCTACCCTAGAATCGAACCATCTACCCTAGAATTGAACCTACTACCCTAGAATCAAACCATCTACCCTAGAATCAAACCATCTACCCTAGAATCGAACCATCTACCCTAGAATCGAACCAGCTAACCTAGTTTTAATTCTATAATATCAAAATCACTCAAATAATTCAAATTTGCTTATTTTCAGGTGCCTACAATACAGCAAAAGGAAAATCAGGAGCTTATTTATTCAAACCAGACGAAAAGAATCCAGACATTTCTGACATTTTTGCTCACGATAAATTATCAAAAATAATTGTCACCGACGGCGAGCTCGCAAGCTACGTAAAAGTATTTTATGGAAAGCTATTAACACACACAGTGAGAATTCTCAAAACTGACACGCATTTGGATGAAGCAATTTACATAGAGAATAATGTGAATATGAATGGAGATCATAATGGCTATGAAATATTTATGAGGATGAAAACGTCAATTGAAAATGAAAAAGAGACTGAATTTTTTACAGATTTAAATGGCTTTCAATGGCAGAGACGCAAAAAAGTGTCAAAAATTGGTGTCGATGGAAATTATTATCCAATCACGATTGGGGCATTCATTCAAGATAAGAGAATGAGAATGACATTTTTAACAAGTCATGCACAAGGTGCGACAAGTCCGAATGAAGGAGAGCTAGAAGTTATGGTGGATAGAAGAACTCCTATTGATGATGATCGTGGAATGCAAGAAGGTGTTACTGACAATCTTGAGACAATCCAAAAACATTGGATTACATTCGAATTTATTGCAAATAATTATAAAAATTACAAAAAATATCAAGTGCCAACTGTGCATGCCTCAACATTATCAAATATTCTTAAATATCCTGTAAATATTTTTGTAAATTCAGCAAATAATCATGAATTAACCTCAAAAGTTGAATTCTTAAAGAATTCATTCCCCTGTGATATGCATCTATTTAATCTTAGGACACTGACCTCATCAAGCGATGAAAAACTTCCAACACGCTCCTCTTTATTAATTGTTATTCGCATGTCTTATGACTGTAAATATTCAACCTCAAGTGGTGATTTTTATAACGAATCTTGTGATCAGAGCTTAGAAAATTTCGATAATGTTGACATTTTCAACGATGTTGATGTCAATTTTGTACAAAGCACGTCGCTCACTGGACTGAAAAATAATGGATATATTACATCATTTAATCACAATCCAATTGAGCCGATGGAGATTAGAACTTTTAATATGACTTTCCATTGATAGTGAATTTTTGATAGGTAAGGAGAAGGGGTGGAGGGGGGGGGGGGGGTTGAAATTTTCCGTTATTGCATTTTACAAAGGAGGATTCTAAGATTTGAGAGAGCTTTATTTATGGCGGTGAATATTTTTTGAAGTTAAGGTGGGGGGGGGGGGGTCTGAAAAAGTGTAAGGGAGTAATCTGAAATTTAAAAAAAATAAATTTGCAAGCTGAAGTAATTGGGGGGAAAGGGGGGGGGGGGGTCTGAATTTTTTCGAGGGGGGGGGGGTAATCTGAAATTTTTAAGAAATAAATTTGCAAGCTGAAGTAATTGGGGGGAACGGGGGGGGGGTCTGAATTTTTTCGAGGGGGGGGGGGGGGGTAATCTGAATTTTTTTAAAAAAAAATTGCAAGCCGAAGTAATTGGGGGGGAGGTGTCTGAATTTTTTCGAAAAGGGGGGGGGGGGGGTAATCTAAAATTTTAAAAAAAATAAATTTGCAAGAAGTTTTCTTGTTTTAAAAATGATGAAAGGGGGGAGGGGGAGAGTGGAGAGGCTTGGACCAATTCCAAAGAAAAATCTATGCTTGAACTGAGGATGTCAATATGAAGAGGTTGGTTGGTACATAATGCTTAATATTCTTGTTTACGTCCGAATCCAAATTTTATTTTTGAAAACTTCAGACCCCTTTTGACTCCTCGGACCTCTTTGTTGAAAATCAAGATTTTTGTTGAAATTTTTTAAAAATAATTTTATAATAAAAATGTTGAAATTTATTAAAGATAGTAAACAATTTTTTTATTTTTTTTTAAAAATAGCTAGTTTATCTTTTCGACTATACAAAATAATACTCGACAGACTATCTTTGAGGCTCGGCCATAAACTTTTCATATTCCAGTTCATTCTTCGGTACAAATGTGAAAAAGTTAAGTAGTGTGATTAATTATCATGCCCCCAAACAGTGAAAATTCGAAATTGGTTTTTCCATAGTAACGATTGATAAGTCACCTGTTAATATAGCGAAAATAAACGAAAATATATAAGCAGTTTTAGTGAGTTTCTTATCTTAGACCACTTACTGCTCCATCTTAACTTACTAGTCTCTACGAGATAAGTTGATATCAACAATCCTTTTTGTTTGATAAGTCCAGAACATAATTGATAAGCTCAATCAGTATAAAATGAGCTACAATTTTATTATTTTCAACAGTAAATTTCTGCTTGTGCCTCAAAAATGTTTCGTCAATTGTTGATTCTTGCTGCCGTTTTGGTCGTCGCTTTAGCTACACGTAATTAAGTTCTTAAGTGAAAAAAATGTAGAAATTGATAAAAAAATATATTTTTCAATCTAGCTGCTGTAGAAAGAGATAGAAGAATTGTTGGTGGATATGACAATGTCTTGGGTCAAGTTCCATGGGCTGTTTCATTGAGAACATTAGCTGGATTCCACTTCTGTACTGGCTCAATTGTTAGCACTTGGTATGTCTTAACAGGAGGTGAGTCACAACAGATTGTTATGTCTAGGAGCTTTTAACTAATGATGCACATGTCATCATAGCTCACTGTATCAGCGGAAGAGCTGCATCCGGAATTCATTTAGTTATGGGAAGAGTCACACTCGATGGAAGTGGTGGAATCAATCGTCAAGGTTTAAGAACTGTAATTAATCCAAACTTTAACGCTGAAACAATGGCATTTGAGTATGTGATGTCTTATTGCACTTCTGATTTATTCTAAATTATTATTTTCATTTTTTCAGCCTCGGTCTTGTTCAAACCTCAGTCGTTATTGTCCTCAGTACATCAATTCAATCAATTTTCTTAGGAAATACATTTGTTGGAAGTGGAGCAGCATCAAAATCAAGCGGATGGGGATCAACATCATCTGAGTTGGGACCAACCTCAAACAATTTGAGAACTTTTGATACAACAACTTTAACAAATGCTGAATGCCGTGCTAGACATTCATACTGGAATGCTGAAAGAATCACAGACAACAATCTTTGCACCGACAATGGCGTTGGTGAAGGGTTCTGTCAAACTGGTGCTGGTGGATCACTTGTTTGGAATGCTCAATTGATTGGTGTTGCATCATGGAATGTACCATGTGCTCTTGGATTCCCAGTATGTTTTTTGAACTTGATTAAGTTGGTCTTTAATTTATCAAGTGAATTTTTATTTAATTTAGGATGTCTACGTGAGAGTTTCAGCATTAAGACCATGGATTATTTCGATTATCGGAGGCAATTAAGACACGTGTAGCTTGATTGTTATTATTTAATAAAGTTAATTTTTGTATAATTTAATAGCTATTTGGATAATAAAAAAGCAAAACCACCAATTTTTTTCCAGCAAAAATCAGTCATAAGCTATAATTGCTTATAACCCCCAAGAGTTCTCATCAATAAGCCCACCCAGACTTTTCTAAGTACTTTATCAAAATCACGTCGGCACTTTACTGATTAAAACAATGCCATATGTGGGAAGTCAAAAGGTTTTTTTCAATAATCATATAATTACTTTTTGGGCTTGTTTTTGGATCTAAAATTAAACAAAATGTTCACGTGCTGATAAGAAATTGACGAATATCAAAACAATGCAGTGCAGCTTTAATGATAGGAGTGGTTTAGTAATTGATTTAAAGATTGAATAGAATGAGGAAGTTTTGGGTTGAATTGGGTGAGCTTCAGAAGTGGTTGCATTGATAATTAACTAGACTTTCTTAGCCATGTCCCTGCATAGGGTCTTGAATTCCGATATGAGCATTGAGTTGATTTTCCTGAGAATTGTCCTCAAATTTCCAGTGTCTGTGTCGATAGCCTTCATCCATCCCAAGTCAAGTAACCTCCATCAAATCAAAGAAAAAATAATAACCGAAATTTTTCCCTCAAACAACAAGAAAGCATCCATGTGTATCTATAAGATAACATGTTGGAAAGCACAACTTTACAGTCTAAGTAAATAAGTGAGTAAGATAAAAAAAGGATACACGATAAACTTAATGATGTGTGTTAAAGAATGTAAAATATTTATGAGAAACCATCCGAATCGGAAACCATAAGTTTATTTATGCTTTTTGCTTGATTTATGAGCGGCACTTGAAGCTTGTGTATGCTTATCTTTCTCATCCATTGTTGTGCTCACTTATAACGAAAATATGAAAAATATTAAGCAATTTATAAAAATGGTTTTAGATATTTTTTGAGAATAATAATTTTTGACACTCTTGCTTCTGGCTTTGTGCTGTATATCGATAGAATTTGTTATTGATTTTAATTGGTTTATTTGAAAAACTTTTATGCTTTAAAGTTTCAAGACTCGTCGGTTAAGTTTTCAGACTTCAATCTCATGTAATTAATTGTTCTAATCCTTGTTAATTATAAATGTGTCCTTAAAGAGTGGCTAAAGATCATATGTGTGGCTATAAGGAGCAGAGCTCGAAGTCGACTCTTTGATTTTTTGTATAGACGGATCAATTCCGTGGGTGCAAGGGTGGTTGGGTTTAAGATTTTTTCTCAAAAAAATCCTAGAAATCTGAAAATTTTCCAAAAGAGGGTGGGGGAGGTCAATCTCCTCTTCTCTGGCTACGCTCCTTGACTTGGTGTTTGTGGTATTCGAACCTCATTTTGAATGTTCAATTGCATAATCTTGCAAACACTTCTTCAGTACACATTAAAATTCATTGAAATGTTTGCCACGCGGGTTGATAGTATAATTAGAACCAAGCGGCATCCAATTGGCAATGGCAGCTACGTGGCAACCACTTAGCATCCAATTAGAAGTTGCTTGGATCAGCTACTGCTTAGTTCTCAATCAATGTGTGCCGATCAGGATCAGCATAGTTTTCTAGTCTGGTTTGAGTCAGAGTTGTGATCTGTCTCTTGTCTGTAGCCTGTTATTGTTTATTGACAGGCAGTGTGCATTGCCTATGAAAGGCAATATCTTTTATCCTCTCACAGTCAACAAACCTGTCAAGAGATTTTACAGATTATTATGTGAGAGGCAGTTTCTGTGAAAGATCTTTCACCTGTGTCTGTTGACAGGCGACTTGTCTCACAACTCTAGTACTTTACATAAATTTCCAAGAATTTTTAAGAAATTAAACAAACTTCAATAATTATGTTCTATTTTAATCCTTACCAAATTCACGCTTTAAACTTTTTTAATCCATCAAAACTACTTAATTGTCGGTTCTCAATATTCAATGCGGACGAAAGAATTTAATTTCACAAATTCGATAGTCATTTAACCTTTTCATTCCTTCTTAAGTGGACGCAAAAACAAAACTAAACGATGAGAAGAATTAAAAAAGCTTCAAAGAAGCCTAAAATTCAACAAAATATTTTCGATGTGTATCGATTTTTAAAAATTTCGCTGTTCCTAATGAAAATTTTCACGAAAGAAATTTCATTTAATGACAAAAGTGCACCAGCTGTGATTAAGAATGCATTACATTCATTGATTGTTGTTGGAACTGTGATGAGCATGATGAGTCATGTGTATCTATTTGGAGAGTACACGTACATTCATATTGACGATATGAGACGTGCTACAATGGGAATGGTGCTTGTTCTGACGGAAATAAAAATCTTTTCGATGGGGCTGATCATCTTGTCTCAAAAATCTTTGGTCAAACAAATATTGGAAAGGATGAATCGGGAATGTTCAGTCAATGAAATTAGGGAAAATGGAATATTGAAAGAAATTAAGGATTTTAGGAATTTATCCTGGGGATATACTGCATTTTGGTATTGTCCAATGATTCTTGTATTTGTTCGCAGTATTACAAATGCAGCTATACAACAGGAATGGATATATCCTTATGAACTAGAATTCTCGGACTTCACTAAAAATCTTGGCATATTTGGACATTCTGCACTTTACATTTGGATCTGCTCGGTGTCACTATTTGGTACTGGATTTATGATTGGATTTGATTTGCTTTTTGTTGGACTGATTTCAATCATATCAATTGAATTTGACATCTTGACTAGCAAAATTCTTACATTTGGATCAATTCAATTAGGACAGAAAAAATATCTCAAAAATCTCATTGAACATCATGTCAAGAACCTCAAAATGGTTCAATTACTCGAAGAAATTTTCAGTACACAATTGCTGATTAATTTCTTATTCTCATCATTCATCAGCTGCTTTCTTGCATTCAATTTCATAACATCTTATGAAATTACTGATTTTTTCTTTAATAGCACTTTTTGCATCACCATACTTTATCAATTCTATGTCCAATGTCGATTTGGTCAGAAGCTGATGGATGCTGGAGATAAAGTTTATGAAGGATTTCGTGAATGCAAATGGGAAAATGTTGATAACCTCAAAATAAAGAAAGCATTAATCTTGATAACACAAAGTGCTCAAAGGTCTGTCGTTGTTACTAATATGAGCTTTTCTAAAGTTTCAATGCATCAGTTTAAGTCGGTAAGTTGGGTGGTAAGTTGGTGATTTTTAAATAAGGGGACAACAACATGATGGGAAACGTTTTCAATGTTAATCATCAAAATTATTCCCATTATGTTGTGTTAGCCATTGTTTCTAGTAAAGTAATGGTTTTTATATGCAGGAACCAAAACTTTAGTATGTCGTGGTCCAAAAAGTTTGGGAACCACTGGTTTAAATTGTCTCGAGTGACACTTTTTGACTTGTTCCTGTAAAAAACAATAACTTTACAGTATCTTAGTGATTATAATAAATCATTTGGAAGTATTACAGCTAGTTCATGATCAAATAATTACAGGTTCTGATGAGGACTTACTCATACTTCACACTGTGCCGTCAAGTTTATTCAAAGTCATAAGCAACGTTATTTGACATCAATCAGCAATTTTTCATACCGTTTTATGAGTGAGAGAAGTTAGATGACATTTAACTTATTTTTATCAACATGCCTCGATGTGCTTTAATTATGAATTTATTTTATTGTTAATAGCTTAAATTGCATTTGAAAATAAAACATGTCCACCAAAAATACATAATTAGTCATTATTTAAGCTCTGAAATTTTCAAGACGCGTCATTAAAAACCACAACATGCCTAAAATAGCAAAACCTTTAAAATACTTCTTTTGATAGCTAATGAGAGTTTAACGAGTGAGAATGCGCCAGACCTCCCACTCAAACCTAGACCTACAATTTATAGTGGGATCCGAACCACTCCTTTGATGTCATTTCTGACAGTAACCTGCAAAGAAAGGCTGTGCGCCTCATTTCCAGTACATATGATTCAAAAAAGGACAAGTGAAAAATTTTCTTTACCCAGTCTCGAACCCATGATCGCTGTATCGGTATTGCAATAATTAAGTACCAAAGTGCTAAACCATTCCACCAGCAAGCCACTTCAGCTTCTAATCTACTAAATAGCTTAGTATAAATAAAAGAGCAATGAATCTTAAGAAGACTTTCAATATAATTTCAATAATTGTGTTCTGTTTTATTAATCCTTACCAATCGTACGCTTTAAACTTTTTGATCCCTAATAGCTCCTTAATTGTCAATTCTACATGGTAAATTATTTGATTTCTAAAGTCTGAGTTGTCATTTGACTTTTCATTTCTTTTGTGAATAGACGTAAAAATTAAAGTCAATGGTGAAAAGAAATAAAAAAGCTTTATCGAAGCTTCAAAAGAAAGATTCAAAATCTGAAGAAAATTTCGATGTCCACAACTATCTAAGAATGTCATTGGCTTTAATGAAAGTTTTCACGAAGAAAATATCATTCAGTGACAAAAGTGAATCAGCAATGATTAAGAATGTACTGCAAGCACTGCTTGTTGCTGGAACTATAATAAGCATGGCAAGTCATGCCTACCTATTTGGAGAGTACACAATCCTTCATATTGACGACATGAAACTTGCAACAATGGGAATAGTGCTGTTACTGTCAGAAATTAAAGTCCTGTCAATGGGCTTGGTCGTCTTGTCACGAAAAGCTTCAATCAAAAAAATATTGGAAAGGATGAATCGGGAATATTCAGTTAATGAAATTAAGGAAAATGGAATTTTGAAGCAGGCAAAAGATTATAAAACTCTGTCTTGGGGATATGCTGCATTTTGGTTCATTCCTATGATTTTATTATTTGGTCGCAGTATTACTATTGCAGTCATACAGCATAAATGGATATATCCTTATGAATTGGAATTTTCTGATTTTATTAATAATCTTGGAATATTTGAGCATTTCATCCTTTTTGTTTGGATCTGCACAGTCTCACTATTTGGTACTGGATTTATGGTCGGATTTGATCTGCTTTTTGTTGGACTGACTTCAATCATATCAATTGAGTTTGACATTCTGACAACAAATATCCTTAAATTCGGATCAATTCAAATAGCACAAGAAAAATATCTAAAGAACCTAATTGCACATCACATCAAAAATCTAGAAATGGTTCAATTATTGGAAGACATCTTCAGCGTTCAATTGCTGATTAATTTTCTATTGTCATCATTCATCAGCTGCTTTCTGGCATTTAATTTCTCAACATCCAGTATCTTATCAGATTTTTTCTTTAACAGTAGCTTCTGCATCACTATGCTTTATCAATTCTATGTTCAATGTCGATTTGGTCAGAAGCTTATTGATTCTGGAGATAAAGTTTATGAAGGATTTCGTGAATGCAAATGGGAAAATGTTGATAACCTCAAAATAAAGAAGGCATTAATCTTGATAACACAAAGTGCTCAAAGGTCTGTCGTTGTGACTAATATGAGCTTTTCAAAAGTCTCATTGCAGCAGTTTAAGTCGGTAAGTAGGGTAGTAAGTTGGTGATTTTTAAATAAGGGGACAACAACATGATGGGAAACTTTTCAATGTTAATCATCAAATTCAGCCACATAATGCCGTTTCACTTATTGTCTATAGTAAAGTAATTGTTTTTATAGGCAGGAACCAAAACTTCAGTGTGTCGTGATCCAAAAAGTTTGGATCACTGGTTTAAATTGTCTCGAGTGACACTTCTTGACTTGTTCCTGTAAAAAACAATAACTTTACAGTAGTGTTAGTAATTATAATATATCATTTGGAACAACTAGTTCATGACCAAATAATTACAGGTTCTGATGAGGACTTACTCATACTTCACACTCTGCCGTCAAGTTTATTCAAAGTCATAAGCAAAGTTATATGATATCAATCAGCTATAGTTAATAAAGCGTCAGTGGAAGAACGATAGAAGTTCATGGACATTTAACTAGTTTTTTCATCAACAAACTTTAATGTGCTTTAATTGTGAACATTATTTTTTGTTAAAAGCTTACATTTAAAATAAAACATGCCCACAAAAAAATACATAATTAGTCATTATTAATGCCCTGTAATTTTTTTTGGCAAATATGAGGTGGATGTTCACTAGTGACGTCACTAGAATTTCCAGTTTCAAACACTCGTAGCACCCAGCCAGTCAAAGTGAACCTATACATGCATTGTTTCTCAAAAAAAGTTGCCTAAACTATTCCAAAACAAAAACCCAAACCTCACATAATTAAATTCTAGACATCAAAAATGAATAAACCCCCAGAAAAATAAATTTCCAAAAATTAATGAGGCAACATGCATAAAATGAATAAGTTAATTTGTGAAAAATGTAAATTGAGCTTCATTTAAATTTTAAATAAAACACATTTGTCGCTGTTAATGTCAATAGATACACATTAATTATCAATAATTATCACATTTAATTTGACATGCAAAAGAAATTGTGTATTAAAGTGTGAAATTATATAAAGCAAATAAGGAAGCGCCCCCAAATAAGTCTATCGATCTCAAACGTGTGATGTTCGTCAAATATTTTGATGAAATTCCACGAAACCGTAACATTGCTGTACATGACACGTTAATTAACAAAAATGTTCTTTGTTCCATCCACAACTTGATTAATGCTCGGAATTTTCACAATGAAAATTCATTGAATTGTAAATAACACAATCAATATGTCATTAACATCATTCATATGTGGAGCGATAATGAATTCAATGACTTTTTTTTGTGTGCTCAATTTTCAAGGGAGATTCTCGATATGTCTGAACGATTGATTTAATCATAATGAGGAATCATATTTTGTTCTCGAGAAGTTGGAAAACGATAATTAATTACTATTATTATGAATTATATGTGTTTTTGTGTCATTAATATGGCAATTAATTCAGTGAATTCTATGGAACAATTTTGTTATTTATTCAGATGAAAATGTCTGTTCGTTTGAATCGATTTGTATTCAATTTAATTGAAAAGGTTTGAATTTTTAAAGGGAATTCAATTTTCGCTGTATTTTCATAGATTTAAAGGTGCTGGTAATTGCTTATTTATAAAGTCCAAAGGCAGCTTGATTGGTAAACTTCAGCCATTCATCCAAGTTACATTCTAGATTGTACTTTGAACTATATTTTCAATGAAACAGGTTTTGATTCAGGAAATCATTGACTTGAAGATTACCATCTCCAGTTGGATCAGAAACCCGTGCGCACCTTCATATAATGGACAAAAATCGACAACAGGGCACAATCACGTTATTTCGACCTTTTGACGTTATAACATTGACTTGGTGTTACTCTAAAAACTATGATATCCCCAGATAGCACAAGTCGTTTACTGACGCTAAGACGCGGACCCAGAAATTTGAAAAGGGGGAACAAAAAAATATTTTGTATGGAAAATTTTTAGGTGCGGGGTATTTTTGCGAATTTTTCATAAAAACCGTAGCAAAATGAACAAATTTAAGATGACCAAGGAAGATTTGCCCCCAAATCCATCCCCACCCTGGCTATTAGCCTGCTAAAACAGCATGTCTCTTGCATATAGCTGGGTTCGGTTTAAATCCGGCTCCACACCAAAACCACGCCGGCTAAAGTCAAATTTCTGTTCGATTAACCGACTTGTGCTTTGTGAGAACATTCTTATTCAGACATTAGAGCAGTGTTGGCCAACCCATGTGCCACAGTACACTTGGAAATCCCTCGATCCATTTGTTGTGTGCAGTTTTGGTCATGGCTTATTTTCAAGTTTGCAGTTGTCTAAAAAAGGTTGTCCACCACTGCATTAGAGAATCGATTAAGAAAATGTAGAAAATCTTTGAATGCACGACAACAAACTTCAACTCCATCAAAATATTCACTGTTGGACTCATACACTCAACATTTCGATGAGTTACCCAGTTCCCCATTATTATTATTCTCTATTTCTCTTTCTCACAAATCTTCTCAATTATTTCTCAATGAGAAATCAGTTAAAAAAATAAACAACAAAGCAAAGAGAGCAAATTACTCATTTCTTAAGTCCTCAAAAGATCATTAATTCATTTTCTGACAGAGAAAAATGGAAACTACAACAAAAAGTCAATGAATGAGTCAATATCTTAATACATTTCTCACTATCCCATACTAGCCATTCCCATGAATATATTTATTTTTTTTTCTTGCTGTATTGCTGCAAACAAATCGACTAGTTGACTCTTTGTGCACATCGAAAACCATTATTTGCGACATTGAGAATGTAAATTATGGAAAATAGTCCCAATTTAAATCATATTAATGATGACTGTTGTTTGTTTTATTAATGGTATGAACAGCCATAAAAAATTGATGAGGTGCTAAGTTGATGAGAATAATTGAGGCTGTTGTGTAAATTATTTTTGAATATTTTTTTTCATGGATTTTTCTGATGCATGAATGTGACATTAGTGCTTGAAACAATTCAAAAAGGTTGCAACTTAAATAATTCTATTAAGCCTCTAAACTCGTCTCCTATTGCCGCATAACCACAAATTCCAAAACAATCCCTCAAAATCCAATCAAAATCAATTAAGCGTGATGATTTAAATGAAATTTGTGTGGCTGATCAAATTGTAATTAGCAATTCCAATGTGGATTATCATAATATGACATTAGACAGCATCACAAATCAACCAAATGATAAAATTGGATTAATTGAAAATGAGAATAGGAAAATTATTAAAAACAACAACAACAACAATGCGGTAGCAGCAGCATCAATTAACGAAAATGTAATCAATCAAATCACAATAGTCAGCAATGAGAGAGCAACGACTACGGCTACTGATAATAATGTGGAAAGTGTAAATAATCGGAGTAGATTAGAAAATGAAAATTGCGGTAGTGGCTGCATAGTGGAAGCAACATTTCGCGAACAACGAAGGCGTGAACGACGCGAAAGACGTCAAGCGAGGCAAAGGGCACAACATGGACATCGACATCATGTGTCTGTGCATCATTCAAACCGACCAAATGTTGTTACTAATAATAATAATAGTCGTGGAATTAATGGCATTTCTGGCTATGAAATGTTACCCGATATTATTAATAATCATTTACCGCCTCCATATACGACGCTTCCACACTTTTCATTACGTACATCTGCTCCAATTCCACCACCTCCACCTCCTCCTCAACCCCAATTAATTACACCTGCACCCATTGTTGTTGATGATTGCCGATTTTCATTTCCGATTCCGATTATCAGAAGGTAAGTTCCTCAACTTTTTTCTTCTTCTTCTTATTTTTGTGTTCCACTTTTACGTTGCTTTTGGAAGTTATTAAACATTTTGCAATATGTGCAGCGTCTGATCCAATTTTCACTTCTTCTTCCTTCTTTCCCATTGCTCAATAATTTCACTTAAATTCAACTTTATTTCCAGTTTTTTTTTATTTCTTCTTATTTCATTTATGTTGTGCATGTCCATACTTAGTCATGTCTCTTATTGTTGTTGTCTTCTTTTCTCCTTTCTCTTTCACGACTTTTTTGTTGTTTATTCAAATTTTATGGATTTCGGTCTGCATTTGTTTGTTTCTGGAGTCATTTAATAAACATTACATGTTCTTGGACTGATAAACTGCAAGTTAATGATTAAATTAGAATTTTAAAGCCTTTACAGTCTGCAAAGATGCAAGAATTCTGCAAATGTTGATGACAAAAAATTCTTTTGTCCATAATTTAATTGTTTTAAGTGTTATTGAAGAATGTCTGAGCAGCTGCTTTGCAAATTTAGTTAATTATGGCACGAGTGCATTTAAAATTAATTTAAAGAATCATCCATAAATGCTGTCAAATGAAGTTTCTTATCAGCAATAATCTCATCCATAGCAATTAAGTCTCTGATATAGGAAGGCAGGTACAACAGATTTTAACTGCATTACTTAGAAAGAAAATCATTACGATTGCTGCTGTTTCTGGTGCTGTAAATGTTCAATTTGTGGCTTGCTATGGCTTGTAAGTTAGGCACAGCATTTGAGTTTATTTTTATTTATTTCTCTTTTCTTCCAATTTCTACTTCTTCTTTCTTGTTTTCTTGCTGACTTGCTTGCTTGTCTTTCTCTCTTACTCTCGTCTGCTGTATGTCGTGATTGTGTTTTGTGTTGTTTTCTCTTTTCTGCCTTTTTCTTCTTGTTCTTCTTTCCATTTTCGATTTCTTCAAACGACGATGACGAGATGAAGGAGAAAAAACTTCTTTCTGTATTTTTATGCTGTGTATTGATTAGTTATGCTACAGAATGAAGACAAAGTATTTTCTTTGATTTTATTTTTGTATTTTCGAATGAATTTTTGTGCTACAAAAATGAATTTTTAAAGATTTTTTCGGTGAAAAAATTGAGCAGAAACATTTGTTGAATAGTTTTTGGACAGGAAGTGACTTCAAAGGAGTTTCATTTTGTGAATTTATGCTTGCAATGGTAATGGGTCATTAAGAACTTTGGTAATGGTTCATTAATGACGTCACTTAAGTTTTGTGGGTGATTCTTCACCGGACATTAAATTATCGTCATTTAAAAATGAAATTTCAGCTGATTTCATGCAAATAGACATTTTTAGCTGCAATTTGGATACTTTTGAGGCTTACTATTTAGATTTCTTAATATTTTTGAGTCAAGCGCATTCCCAGAAAAGGGTAAGGAGTCATTATGACCCAATCAATAGAAATTTGAATAGCAAAAGCCATCCAGAATAGCTTCAAGTAAAGCTGAATGGATCAAAATGTGATTGATCAATTCGACAGTTTTGACTCTATCATCACAACTGCTACGAGTTATTGTCGAGTTCATTTTTGCTTAATTTGCTCAACTTCCTTAAAATTCAACTTCACAATCACAAAAAATACTTAAAATATTAATGAATTCCCGTTCAAAATCACCAAAAGATCAGAATCTCAATTACCAAAAATTTAATTCCATCTTCCTTCTACTTTGCAATTTATGAATGAACATCAAGAACTGACCATAAAATGGAAAGAACAAAAAGAAGAATTCGCAAGAAAATCTGAAAGAATATTTTCTAGAATTATTAATTTTACGGTTCTTTTCTTATTGTTTCGTGCATTATGTTGTGCCTGTATGCCGTTGTATGAAATAAGAATTAAAGTCGAGAGGAACTGAAGAGGCACTTCATGGTTTTTTACATTTTATTTCCACTTTGTTCGTTATCTTCACTAATTCATCACATTCAATGGCTCTCCTGCCTTTTTTTAGGCACACAAAAAAAATATTCTTTAATTAAAATTTTTTCTCTCAATTTTCTTTGTGAATTCTTAACGATAAAGACGATAAATTAATTAATTTGAATGAGTTTTTTGTTTTGTCGATTGTCGAGTGCCAAAAACAATTTTTCTCAATTTTGATTCCAAATTTTTTTTTATTTCTTGTTTGACTTCAAAAACCAAAATTGTTGGCAATTATGTGCTGTGCCCAGTTATTCAATATCATGCCATTACGTTCACTATCTGTCGCTACAAATTTTTCATCAAATATTTCAAGTCATTTGAGACAATTGCATAATAAACTCCAAAAAAGTCACTTTTTGAGGCTCAAGAAATTTTGTGAAATAAAAATTAAATTTTTACTTTTTTTATTTTCCCATTTTTGGACCTGAAATTATCGGAAATTAAAAGGTAGAATTTTTTTCATCATCATCTGCTCCTCATTCGATCCCAAAAAAATGCAGCACAAAAGATTCTATTCTACAGAAATAAAATTAGTCACTGCTGTAGGCATAAAAAGACTCAAAATAAAATAAAGGAACCAAAAATCTTAGCATTTGGGGGGCGTTTATGAATGATGTCAAGCGCTTATACTCAGTATGGACATAAGTGAGGATTCTGTGGCTGTAAGAGGATGTTGATGTTTTATCTATATGATAGGGTCCAAAGAGAGCCAAAGAGAACCCTAAAAATACAATTCTTGATGGATGTAATATATGAATGACCCCCTTTTTACCTTTAGCAATGTTTTTGCAATTGACCGAATGAAAAATTGATTCTTTTTGGTGAATTTCTTTCTGTTAAAATGTATTGTTGATATACTGAAGGTGGGAGATGACATTCTGATTTTTGCACATGCTGTAATTGTCATTTACGAATGAAAAATGACCTGAAGTTTGTTGTGATAATGATTCTTGACATTCTTGCCCTCAATTCTTCATTATAGACCCTCAAAAATTTAACACCTATTAAAAATTTCATGAAAAATTAAAGATTTCATATAAATGACCTAAATTTGTCTCAGTATCTCCGACCATTACTTTAATAGTTACTGCTGTTATCGATTTATTGGCATCAGCTGCAAATAAGAAACTTTTCTTCTGCCTTCGTCTCAATCTTCCATCTTCATCTGCTTAATTTACTACAGCTTAAAACTATTAAAAGTTTGTTCGAATGATGAGAAAGACACACACACACACAGTTGGGGAAGTGCACAGATGAAGGCAATTGAGTGACCATTAAAACTTAAAAGAGCATTTAGAGATAGAGATGAAGTTTATGTAGATAAGAGCAGCTGTGCATTGTTCAATATTCTTTCTCAGCTAAGTCGTAGCAATGAATGTGGAATTTCTCAGCTATAAGCATTTCTATTTGCTCAGTAGCTGAATGTTAATTGATTGAAGTTCCATTTACGCATTAAATTGAATAAAATTTTTTTCATTCTCATAGCTTTCTTTAAAATATACAGCATAAGAAAAAAAGTATTGAGGGAATTGGCAATAAAAATGCAGCACTAATTACATTGATTTGAGTTTCGTTTTATGGATTTAGGTTTTATTGAGCATAATTAGAGGTTTATAGTCTCTTATGTTGTTTGAGAACTATAAGAGGCATAGATTGATGTTAAATGAAGCTCGTTAAATATTTTTTTATCGGGAACCTTGTTTGTGAAAATTGTTTGGTGGGATCTATAATCAAAAATTATTAAGGTTGAATAAAAAAAATAGATTAAGAATTTGAAAAAAAAAATATTTATTAAACAAGTTGAAATATTAAAAAAAAACACTTGTAAAAACCAGAAATTTAAAAAAAAATTTTTATAATGTTAAAAATTCACAATATTAAAAATATTAAAATTTAAAAAAATATTAAAATTTCGAAAAATTCAAAGTTTTAAAAATAAATTCAAAACTTTAAAAAATTAAACTTTTAGTAAGTGATTCTTATCTATTCTCAACAATCGCAATCAGGGGCGGAGACAAAAAAAATTTTTTGAGGAGGGGGGTGGGGGTGTCTTGATTTTTTAAACGGGAAATTTTGTCGTGGGTTTTTGGATTTTTTTTTTCTCAAAAATTGAAGAAATTTTTCAAAAGTTTGAGCTCCCCCCCCCCCCTACACTGGCTACACCCCTGATTTAAATCTATATCTTCTAAACCTCATTCAATATCATCTTAATGATCCTTGCAATTAAGAACTTTCTATTAATTTATCAGATCTTAAAAAATACTAGTTTATTATATGAGATCCCATAACATTCGTGACAAGTCTTCCTAAGCGAGACCATAAAAATGCTTAAAGACAATTTTGCGTACAATAAATTTTTTTATTGCTGAAAGCATCAAAAGCGGAGATTGTTCATTTTAATATTTTAATCTTTTCATTTCTCTTCTATTTGCAACTTTTAACCAACTTAATTGGCGTTTCGGTTAAGTGAAAGTTTTACTTTTTCTTCTTTCTCAAATTCATAATAGCATAATGTGTTGTTGGCAATAAACAATAATTACAAAAACAACATCTTAGACTTAAAGTGAGGCACAAGATGGGAAACATTAATGTTCCAATGTGGCAATTATGGTTATGTACACGTAATAGATTTTTTTAAAGATTTTCTCCGTAGTAAAAAATTATTTTTATGACTTGTGGGGGCTGGATATGGCTTAGTTGATGACGGTTAAAAGATCAAGCCAGGGCTGTAGCCAGGAATTTGAAGAGTGGGGACAAAGAAGGGGGGGGGGGGGGGGGTAATTGTTTCATAAATGAAGAAATTTTTGTTGACGTAGGGGACGCAACTTCCCCCCTTCCCTCCCCTCCTCTTGGTTACGCACCGATATCAATCAAACAAGATTGTTGTAAAATTTTAGGTACACAATTGTCAAGATTTAATTAAAATGAAGAATCACTGAATTGAGAGTCATTATTTATGTCCATAGACACTACAATTAAATATCAAAATCTGATCAAAACTGCACAAAACCAACAATTGCTCTCTCCAAACCTCCAGCAAACAACGTCACACAATATTTACTTTACAAAAAAAAATAACAGTAATTTTTGAGATTATTAGCGGCAATTATTCGATGATTATACAAAAATTAAAGCATTGTTGAATTTTTCCGCAGACTTATTGGGGGTCATTCATAAATGATGTCAATTTTTGTAACAGAGAGGGAATCTTACGCTGGATGAAAACATACACAAAAGTATTTAATATTATTGTGTTTAGCGTGGGGATCCAATATTTCAATATTTGATATCCGTCATTTATGAATAAACCCTCAATAAAGTTATTCATATTTATTAGGAAATTATATATAAATATAATATAAACAGCTTTTTAATAATGCTAATTACTATTTTGATTCAATGTGTGTTGTATTGCTGGTAGCTGTGAAGCAACATAAAACTTTTGATACTAACAAATGACTTTTTATTAATTTATATATTGTGTGTTAAGTTTTTTTTTTGAAATTTCACTATTTACAATAATTGGAACTTCACACTGTATCAGCATCACAGTCAAACCTATGGGCTAGAGTGGACGCCAAACAGAGACACTAGTCCACCATGAGGTTTGCATTCAGTCAGATTTAGTGAAATCTAGGTCCATTTCAGTCAAATTCCACTAATACGGTGTATTTTTATAAATTTGAGAGAAATTGTTGCAGTTTAGATTCAAAGTAGCGGGAAGGAAGGGCAGCTGCTTAAAGGTTGGTGGGTCTCCCAAATCCAAGAAACCCATCTTAAAACCATAAAACAAATAGTAATCTCCAAAGACGTCCGAAAACGACAATTCAAGACAAAGAGAAAATACATTTGGACATCTCAGTGACTGATCGTGAGTGTCAGTCATCAAATCAACATTGAGAAAAGAGGAAAAGAGCATTTATGATGCAAGAGATAATGACTTGTGGGAAATTTAATTGACTTAATACTGGTTTCAATTTCTATCTATCGTGCATGTCATTATTTTCTATCTGTCTAATATCCAATAGTCTATGGGGTCGTTTACATATGATGTCCAACATTAGCGGTCATTTTTCAAAAAAGAAAAATCGGATTTTCAGGAATTTCTATTTTACTTTTCTTGCTGACCTTCCGCCTGGACGTCATAAGTGAACGGCCCCTTATGAGTCGTGTATTTATTTTTTTTGTTGATTCCAGAGGTGTGTTTGGATTGCTGGAACTTTTTTAAATTAAATCCCATTTTTTAAAAAATTAAAAATAAGTTTTAGACGCAACCCCCTCCCCCCATAAAAAAATTCAGGTTATTTTCTAACTTGATTTTCAATCGAAATTTCGATCGGTCCTGTGACTCGCACTCAAACCAGAATTGTATAAAAACTAAATAAAATTAATGTTGTGCAATATGAAAAGCTCATTGTGTGCCTGTATTACGTGTGTGATTATGAACAAAAGCCCCAGAAAGTCCAACAATAGAAGAGAAAATTCTCACTGAGTACTTTTTTTTGTGCTTCGTTTGCATGACAAAACAGAAAAAAACGAGCTAAAATTCAACAATAACACATTACTTCTCTTTCCTTCAACCCATAGACAGTAAATAAATGGTATTAAAATCCCATAAATATCGATGTTCATTGTGTAAGGCAAACAATATAGGAAGAGCTTTTTTCGGGGATTCAGACACAAGAGATGAATGGAAATAATTTCTATTTAAATGAGGGATGCTGAAAAAAAGAAAGAGAAGGATTATTATCACCTCACATTATTAATGATATGGCAATATTCTCATTGTTGTTCATAATTTACCACACAAAAAATGCACACATCATATTGGAGCTTAAATTTTGGAACTTGGAATAATTTATTTTTTAATATAAAATGGTTATTTTATAATGAATTTAAAAAAGCTTCGTATTCCCGCTATGCTTAATCATTCCATACACAACTTTTATTGTTTCAACATTTTTCCTTACAAGATGAACCGAAACTTCATAGTTGTATTCAGCATCAGGCCATGTTGAATCAGTGCCCATTAATGGTTTCCAGGATTTTTTGTCTTGTGGACAGTCGTAATCACCTGAACTTGCATTAAAAGATACTTTTCCAACTTCATATGGACATGGATGACAAATCTGTGGAGCGAATGTTTTGCATTCACTAACAATACGTTTTATGGATTCCTTATCACTTTTAACGACACTACAAAAGTCAATATTGTCATAGCCGATAAAGTGATGATAATTTTGATATCCAACGTATTTATAATAAATATGCTGACTAATCTGTAGATCAAAAGATATATATTTAGATTGTCTGTTATTTTCGAATTTTAGCAAGTCTAGAACAAAATGAAGCACTTTTAAAAGGATTGCTGTTTGTAATTTGTTGTGTCCTGGGGGACCGCCCCCCCCCCCCCCCTACGAAAATCTGATAATTGTTTTATTAAGTATTTATAGAGAAGAACCAGTTAATGTAGAGGAAGTGATGAAAGAAATGTCAAAATCAGCATGAAATATAAATTTAATGTATGAATAATGAATTAAATATATATAAACTTATGAAGAATGAATATAGATTTAAGGATACAAAATAACGGTTTTAAAATTTTCTGGCTACGCTCCTGGAGTACAAGTCATCTTTGTATACTTTCTGCAAAACTGTTCAAGTCATTACATTAGTCTTGATAGTGAATAATTAAAAAATAATTCTATTTTTATATTTGTACATATCCTTGTGATGAGTTGATCAATAGCATTATTGCCATTCCATATAAAAGATTCTTAAACATTTTGTTTTATTTTATCCAAATATTGTAACTTGATACTTGACGTAGAAATCCAAAATAAATTCTTCAATAAAAACTGAGTCAAACATTCTCATTTGCTTTGGTTTTTATGCACGAAAAAACTCAAAAATTTATTTTTTGACAGAAAAACTGCAGCTTCAATTATTGAAATTTATTAATAATCAGATGTAACGCAGTCAGACTAGTTAAAATCAAACACAATTATTTTTTTAAATAACTTTTCATTTTTATTCAAACAATTTCTTTTATTTACATTAAATTATATCGTAATAGGTATACAAATGATATTTACATAAATATTCAAGTAGAAGTAATCAACATGGTGCATATCATGATAAGATAATAACAGTTGTGAGGTTTTTTTTCGAAATTTTTTTGATTATTAATATTAGGAATTTTAATTATTTTTTTGAAGATTAATTTTGAACTAAAAGGCTAAATCCAAATATATAAAAAGCGTTTGCCTGCAGCAAATGGTTTTTGAGTTTAAAGTTGTAGCTCAAAGTGCCAACAATCTCCTTTTCCTTTCATTCTAGAGATTTAAAATGTTATTCAAATTATTTATGAAATGAATGAGGAAGGGCAGGAGTGGGGAGGGATAGGTGACATGGATTTTTTACGAACATATTTTAATAAATGATAGAAAATTTGTACTCCTAGGACAGTTTTTATCAAATTATGTTCCTCCGAACTTTAGTGTTCAGTGAAAAAATCCTGGGTGCTCCTAAATGAAATGCAGGAGCCAAAAAAGTAAATGATTCACTGATGGTGTTCGGCAAAAATTACTTTAAACCGTTTAATTTGTCGTGTTTTAAAAAGTTTGGGAATCACTGTCCTACGAGTTGTAGGATGGTACTATAGGCATTACTTGAACACTCTAAGGGCCGTTCACTTATTACGTAACGCTCTTAAACGGAAGGGTCTGAAATTTTGTTTCACTTCAAAGAAAAGAAATTTTTTCCATATAAAATTTAGTCTTTCCGAGGGTCTAAAACAGAGATCGAAGCCGATTTTTTCGGCTTAACTCAATTTTTGATTTTTTTGATAGAAAAAAGCCATTTGACACCCATTTCAAGTATTTAAATTGAACTTTACATGCTTTACTATGATTCTGTGAAATATTTTTTCAGCATGTAGCTATAGTGAGCTCAGAATTTCAAGTTAAAGAATGTTAAGCCGAAATTTAAGCCGATCGGCTTAAAATCGGCTAAATTGAAATTCAAAGCTTACTATAGCTACATGCTGACAAAATATTACACAGAATCATAGTAAAGCATGTAAAGTTCAATTTAAATACTTGAAATGGGTGTTAAATGGCTTTTTTCTATCAAAAAAATCAAAAATTGAGTTAAGCCGAAAAAATCGGCTTCGATCTCTGGTCTTTTGTGTTACGTAAAAAGCGAAGGGCCCCTTAGTAACCAAAAGAATAGTTGATAATATGAAATTCACAGTAATTTAATTTTAATAATTTCAAGAAAGTTCTTTTGTTGCTAATTTTATTCAAATCATTTACAAATAGGGTTTTCAATCCCGGGATTAAAATGTATGTAATCCCGGAATCAGACCCGGGATTCAGTACATTTCTAATCCCGGAATTGAAAACCCTTTTTACAAAGAATATGATTTTAAATTTTAATAGAAATAAGAAATGGGGTCATTAACATGTGACGTCCAAAATTTAGAGGAAGGTCAAAAGTTTGTGACTTATTGTCTCCCCTGGTCTCAAATCAGGGGGTGAGGAAATTTGAGGAAATTCAATTTTTTTGAGTCTTTGTTTGGACTTCATAGAAGGGAGGGGGGGGGGGGGGGTGTTGACATCTGTGAAACCTTTGTGACAAAGAAGGAGTGAAGGTTTTAATTATCAGGTTTTTTGATGGATGTCATAAGTGAACGGCCCCAAAAAAAGTTCGTATAACAACCGTAATTTCAGACCATTCACTGATCTATAAAAATAAAAAAATCTAAGAATAATTTTAAAGAAGAAATTCCAAAAACAAAGAAAAAGTTTTTTTAACTACAAGAAAATAAGATAAATCACTGTCATCACACAAGTGTATTGTTATCATTAATTAATTTACTAAGATTATTAGAATTATTATTAATTGTAACAATTGTTATCATTCCAGTATCATGTTCATTACAGACTGTCGTTGTTGTCTTCGTTGGTGTTGCTGCTTGTGTATCTAATTTAGACGAAGCGTTGACATAATCATTACTTACTGATGACTCGCATGAATTCACTTTAATTTGACTCTGATGATGCAAATTAGAAACATCTGTTGTGCTGTTTTGATTAATTAAAATTTGTTGTTGACTTTTTTGATTAATTTTTGTCATTTCTCTTGCTTGAGTGGCTCGAGATGATGACTTAATAACAGAATTCGAGTCATTGCTCTCCTCAACATCCTTTGGTGATGGCACAGATAATCGATTGCTGCAATTTTGTTGAATATTCACTCCGCATGCCATATTACCAATATTGTTGCTTGCTATTCCATTCAATGCTGTATTATTATTGTTATTATTATGACTATTGCTATTGAATACGCTTGATGATCCATTTGGATGTGATATGACTGTATTATGACGATGAGATCTGTAATGGGTAAGAATTTTATTTGTTTAAATTATCAATTTTTGGGAATATTAAGATTTTTTGGGGATGAGACAAAAGGCGAAGCTGGAAAAAGGTGTCCAAAGGTCTGGACTTGGATTTGGCTTCAAGTGTCATAAAAAAAATACGAAAAATCACATTCATGAAAGCAATTAAACACCTTTATACGTCCTATCCAGTGAGATTCAGGCTAATTTAAGAATCTTGAGCTTTACAAAGTCATTAGATGCTTTATTAAACAGGAATAGCTCTCAAGCACAGACGAAACACAGCAACTCTTAAATCATAACCTCAAAATACATAAAAAATGCAATTCCATAAAAGAATTCCTATTGTTTAGGTATACATAAGTTATTGCCATCATTTCCGAAATTGGACAATTTGATTGTCAAAATGATAACAAAAAAAAAATCTAAAAGGAACAAGGCTGGAAGCAAGCAGGAGCAGTTATCAGATGTTCAATGCAATTCGGTTTTATGATTGCCACAATTTCCTTTCGTTGCCATTGCTAATTCCGTACACAAAGGCACTCGCACACATTCATTTGGTGATGTTCTCTATGTTTTTAGTTGCGAAAGGCAATTGGGCAATAAAAAATTGGCACAAACTGAAATAAAATTCGACATAAAAGCAATTTTTTTTTCGTTTTGAAACATGCCGTGAAGATTCTCTCCTTTTGCTTGAACACTCCCAGCACTTAAATGCTTTCGAAGCACGCGCGAATTTATTTCTCATAGCAATAAAAATGAAATACAAAACGTTATAGTTGACGGGAATAAGTTACATGGATTCTTGAATGAAGTACATGATGTTAGAAATTATCATAAAAATATTATGACCGGGAGATGCTGATGCAGGTGCTGATGCTGTATTGTTTCTTTGCGTTTATTTTATGTCTTTAAGGGATTGTGTCGCTTTCTTTCATGGTGGATGCATGAGACATATTTAAATTAATAAAAATTTCTTAAGCCTTTTGGATTGAATTCTAAGGAACCGTCACGAGAAGGTTAGGCGTCGATAGGTTTTTCAACCCGGTGATCTCGGACCCTGTAATCTTGGGATAAAAAAATATTCAAGAGCTGATATAAAAATGCTAGGACTGGAATGATTGTATCCCCATATATCTCGGGATTGAAGACCCTATTAATTGTAGTAGCTTAGGACGTAGTCCAACACTCTTAACAGGTACGATATAAAATAAACTTTTATTAATTGCCATATACAAACCTTAAATGTGGTGCTACATTCGATCGATATGACGGTGGTGGTGATGCAGATGATTGTTGATGTACCACAGCTGTTAGCCTCCTTCCATGTGACTGTCTGTCACGATCCAAGAGCAGTAACCTGTAAAGAATGACGAGAATTATATTTCAATTTTTATAAAAAGTTCTGGAAATTCATTGAGTTTTATTAGCTTTCTCGGGCAGAAATGCTAGGGGGTTTCAGCACTGGGGATGTGCTGTCTTATGTTCTTAAAATGTTCTTATAAATTTTTTGGAATTTAATTAGAAGTGCTTCATAGCGAATGCTACATGGCGCAGAAGAGTGATGAAAGAATGTCAGCTTAATGTGCGGACAGACAAATTGTACAAACTAGGTGACAGAGCCAGCAACAGAGTCAGATGGAAAACCTTTTGGTGTAACCTAAGCTCCACATAGGAACATGGCAACAGTAAGTAAGTACAGCAACTAAAACCCCTCCCTAAGTTTGGTAGCATTTACAAACGACAACTAAGGAACTGATGCACATATCACATCATTTTCAAAATAATTAATTTTTTTCAATGAACAACAAATTTAAGGCAACCCTAATTCAAACTCACCTCAATCTATACTCTTGCATGCTAGCCTGATACGTTGGTGGAGGTTGTCGATGTGTAAATTCCGGATAAAGAAGACCATGTGACATGCTACTATTTCTCAAGCATTGCTGTCGTCCACAATGATCAAATTCTGTTCCTTCCATACCAAAACATGCTGAGCCGTCAGCTGTTGTGATTCGCCATGCAACACCACTTATTGTTACTAGAACAACTCCAATTCCTGAAAAATAAGATGGACATGTGGTTTAGAATTTATTGAAATTTTATTTTAAAAATTGAATTATTTTTTATAAAAGTCACAAAAAAAATCCGAAACTCTATAAAAATAAAAGTTATAAATTTGAGCTATAATATAAAAATTAATAAACCATTAAAAGCTGTATCTATAGCACTGAAAACTAGAAACTCGTCTAAAAACTTTTTAATAATCTACAAAATTTTTACGACTCAATTTTCTAGTCCATTATTAGAACTTTCATTCAATTAAACTTTTCTATGGAAAATACGCTCCTAAAACTTTCTAAACGAGTCTGAGAACACAAAACTCGACTCTACATACTCATTCATGCCTGTCACGTCGCTGCAGTTACACGACAATCATAATTCTAAAAATTTTAACATTTTGTGCTTTTAATTATTTTTCCTTCCCTTCCATTATTATTTACGGCTTTCCATTCTCTCACAAGCTTCAGTCATAAATTTTAAAACTTTTTTTTCTCGTGCTGTTCTGAATGCTAAATAGATGTGCTTAATAAATTTCAATTAAATTATTTTGCTGAGAGATCTGTGTGATTGTGATTACATTAAGGTTGATTGATGTTGTGAAAATGTTATTGCGTATGAGTTTTGCAAATTATTGCTTAAATTTTGTAAGATTGTGTGACAATCGAGAATGTGATGTTGTAGGATGACATGTGAGTGTGCTTGAAATTTAATGCTGTTGTGATTGACTTCATTTTGTGTCTTTTAACTATTGGTGTGTGTTTAATTATTCTTAAAATTATTGCATGGATATTAAAGGAAATGTGGCTCACAACCTTCCTTTGTAGGCTACAGGCAGAAATGTCATCAAAGGAGTGATTCGGATTTTACTGTAAACTGTAGGTTTAGGTTTGAGTGGGAGGTCTGGCGAACTCTCTCTCGTTAAACTATCATTAGCCTTGTAACGCATAAAACGCGCAGCTATGGATCTCTAAGGTCTGAATGCTAAAGTTTATTTATTTTTTATACCAAAGGATATAATGTGCCCTCCCTCCCCTTTGTAGTTCAGGACCCGGTTTCTAGATCCATTAGATGACCTTGGTCAGAAATCTGAGATTAAGGAAAGGTGCCCCGAGTAGCCCAATAAACCAACCTTTGGATTATTTTGGCGTTAGGTTTGGATAAAATGGAGTACACTAAAGATGTATCTTGCTCCACTGAGACGTTCTTCGGCTTTATTTAAGCCTTCGTCCAAAACTTTTCAACATACAACAGTTAAATAATTTATTAAGCATGTCAAAATTGAACCTTTCAAAATTTTAAACAAAATTTAATCCCTATTTAATAATTAATTTAAGCTCTATAAAGTCATTTCCAACAGTTTTGCTCAATATTCTTTAATCTTCTTAATAACTCAATCTATAATATTGAATTCATTGAAACTGACTCGAAAGCAATCAAGATGAGATGTACTTTTCATATTATAGAATAGAAGCATTGAACTGACCTTTTAGTACCCTACTTCAGGGATGGCCAACCTATGTGCTGTAATATTCGCTGAAATGTTCGAGAAATTCCATGAACGGAATGTCGTGTGCGATTTTGTTCATGGTTTTCCACTAAAGTGTGCCGTGTCATAAAAAATGTACACCTCTGCTCAGCATCCTTATTGATTTCCAGGGGGATAACAACTAGATAGACTTTTTTAAATTTTCAAAATATTTTTTTTTGGAAAAATTAATTTCATCAATTAATAATTCTCCAATTTTTTTACACCTAGTTGTTCCCCCCTTAGTCATTCCTATATATCAGTGTTGTACAACCTTTTTGAGCCATGACACACCTTAGGGGTAAGTCATGACAGAAATCGCACACAACATCCGGTTCGTGTCATTTCCAAAAAATGTGCCGCGGCACACAGTTTGAACAACATTGCTTTATATATTTCAAAAAATAAAACACACATGGAACTGAAACTTAAACTTTTATAGATATAAGAAATAGAAGCAAATGTGAAGGACAAGAGCAGTAATGGGGATATGGAATATTTATTGTCGACATAGAAAGGAAGGAACAAAAGCTTATTGTTGTTAAATCTTGTTAAATAATGTTCTCATGCTTTTACTTGAGTGAATTTTCAATTGCTAAATCCTTTTAACAGAACTCTTCCTTCCTATTTCCTCTCTTTTTGTTATAAAATAAAATCTAAAACTTTTCATTTATCTTATTTTGTATCACCTGATGAACATTTTCATGACAGATGATTATTTCTCATGAGTTAATTGAATTAAATGGTTTTAAGTTTTACTTTTAGGTACTTGGGAAGTTTTGAAGAAAATATAAGCTTTTGATTCCTGGAACGTTGGCAGGAGTCGAGCTAGCGTGTTCAGCAGATGCAGAGCCAAAGAGGGGGGGGGGGGTCTAGACCCCCTTGGAATTTTTTTCTTCCAAACTTAATTATTAAGGTTTTATTGGAATCAATAAAAATTACAAAACTAAGCGTGAAGCGACAAAAAAATTGTTTGACCCCCTAGAAATTTTTCTGACCCCTGGTGTTCAGTGTTGAAACTCCACTCGATAAGATGGGTGCGGTTCATAGGACCGACAAAAAATTTGGCCAAATTTGGCCAAAATTTTTGACCAAATTTTCACCCAAATTTACCCAAATTGCACCCAAATTTGGCCGCATTTTTATTAAAGAATTGTTCGAATAACATTTTTTTGAAAATGTTCTCCCAAATTTTTGGCCAAATTTGAGTGAAATTTGGGTGCAATTTGGGTAAATTTTGAACCAAATTTTCATCCAAATTTGGTCAAATTTTTAACCAAATATTAGGGTGACCATCTAATTTTTATGAAAATACAGGACACAAAGGAAAATTTAAAATTAACGGAAATTTTCGTGAAAAAAATACAGGACCTGGAACAAAATTTTCAAATTTATACAGGACAGGGTTTTGAAATACAGGACTGTCCGTTGTAAAACTAGGCAGATGGTCACCTTACCAAATATCGACCAAATTTTTGTTCAAGTTTTAAAAAAATACGATTAATTTTTTCATAATATTTAAACCAATTGCTTTTAGCGCTACGCTTTGTTTGTATATGAACTTTTGCAACTTATGCAGGGTTTTAAAATAACTATAGTTTTAAAAATCTAATAAAATATATCTAAATTACGTTTGAATATTTTTAAGGTCATGTATGCATCCAAATTATCTAGATCTTCTAGAGCAGCATTCCACAGTGATTCAGATACGGAAAAATTTTTTAAAAATTTAGAAATATCATATTAATTAAACTTCAATTTTTGAATGAGATTAAAGATCTCAACTTGAAACATATCCTGTGAACATATCTTGTCCCAATTGAATGTCTAATTCCACAAAATCTTTAATTTATTCTCACCAAAAATTTGTTTACAATTTGTTTATGAAAAAAATCTTTGGTTTCTCTACTTTAGGTTGTTATTTCGATATCCTACTAGCTGTTGTTAGCTAAGTTAAGCTTAGATTTGCATATTTAAACTACCAAATCAACAGAAAACTGCTTATTAAGTCTTAAAAATCCAATTGAAATCTGAATTTTTCAATTTAATATTATTGATGATTTTTCTTTCTTTTAAGAGATATTTAATTCAATAAAGATGCAAAGTTTTAGGTTTGACCATTTTTCAAAAAATATCTTGTCACCCTCTTTATAGGGAATAAGATTGCAAATTAAGTATTTTTCCCGAATCTCATATGAAACGTTTTAAGTTTTGATTTTCAAGTATGAATCTATTGGTTTTAATTCGCATCCTTGAAGAAAAGCTTGTGCCTGAAATTTTACATCTTCTGGAAAAACAGATTTCAAATTGGTTGAGGCATTGCTGAGAAAATCGTAAAATACGCTTTCTGTAAGCAAACAAGCAAGCAAGTTAATCAGCAAGAAATCTCAATAACGAGACATCGTTGAGACTACTAGTTTTTTGCATTTGATCCGTGCTGCTCTATAGAAGAGTAGTATTGTTTTTGGGCAAGGTAGGAACAGCCGTTGCTTCAGAAAAAGCAAAAAACTTTCCTTTCTAACGAATTTTTTAAAAAAAAAGTTCACTGTGATTTTTATAAAATTAAACTTTGGATGAAAAATGTTTTTAAAAAACTTTAAAAATACTCGTTAAGCTTTAAACCTCCAAACATATGCTGAGCACAGCTCAGCTGACTCGCTAGCTTTATACCTTCAAACTTATGCTAAGCAAATCTTGGTCAATCCATAAGACTTTTGATGACACGGTGTGAATATATCCGCATTGGGTTTCTACCCGATATACTTGGTTTTACATTTTGGTTGAGAGAAAGCTGGGTCTATAAATAATTTTTATTAAATTTTTAATCTCAAAAGATATAAGTTGTTTTTGTATTTGACGTCTTAATCTTTTTTTGTCACTTAAACTTTTACATAGCGAAATAATTTTGCATTCAGGTTTTTTGTTTTTGGAAATTTATTATAATTATTTTTTGAAACTGAAAACAAAATGTATCTGAATCTGAAATTTTTTTTAAACTTTTAAGAAGTTTTACAAATCTCGTAAAGATTTTAAAACAGAAAATATTCACGATGTTTAATTTTCAACAAAATAAATTTAAAGTATAATTTTTCAAAATATTTTTAAAAATATTTGAAAAGATAAATAAGTAGTTTAAAACATTTGAGTAAAATGGATCCATGGGCCACCATCAGACTCTTCAAACTTCCTTTAATTAAATCATTGGAGTGAAACTTATGCGTTTCAACAAGCAGTAAAATATTTTGAAGATTTTTGAATTATATTAAGTAATTTCTTTAAGATATAAATAATTTTGGAGAAATAAGCATCAATAAATCATTAAATCAGTTTTAAAGAACTGAAAAGCGTTGATCCGATTAAAATTTGTGAAACACAACAATTTGCAATAATACTATGAATTTAAATTTTATGAAAATTGTCGTTTCACTTAACGACAAAGAACGAAATTTGTTTCTTCCTGAATCTTTGTAAGGTGCACTTAGAAGTTCCTTGGATCCAGTCTGCTTTTCCAGACTAAATTTGAATCCAAACGAATAAGACTAGAAACTGCATTTAATTTGTGAACGTAATTTATATTATATTAGATCTTTATTTTACTAAGGATTATAAATACGTTAAAGTCGACAAGAATCTAAAAAACTGTCTCAATTTTTTCAAAAAAAAGCAAAATTTGAACAAAAATTTGGTCGATATTTGGTTAAAATTTTGACCAAATTTTGGATGAAAATTTGGGTAAAAATTTGACCAAATTCGGATGAAAATTTGGTTCAAAATTTACCCAAATTGCACCCAAATTTGGCCAAAAATTTGGGAGAACATTTTCAAAAAATATTATTCAAACAATTTCTAATAAAAATGCGGCAAAATTTGGGTGAAATTTGGGTGCAATTTGGGTAAATTTGGGTGAAAATTTGGTCAAAAATTTTGGCCAAATTTGGCCAAATTTTTTGTCGGTCCTATGAACCACAATCGATAAGATAATAAGATGAGGTTACAAAATTAGCAAATGATCCCCAAATCAGCTTTTTCAATTCATTTGATTACCAAGCTGTTTTGATAAAAACAGGGCGAAGCCGGAAATTTTTCATGGGAGGGTGGGGGGGAGGTGGATTGTTAAATTTTGTTTGTAAAGACATAAAGTTTTTGAATGGAGGGTTTTGAATTTTTTCTCACTCTAAAAACAAGGGGCCCCCTGGTCTTTTGGGAATCAACCCCCAAAGCCCCCCTGGACAAAAAACAACAATTCTCAAAATACCATTGAAATAATGATAAAGAGACGCTTTCAAGGTTCTCCCACAAAATTTTTGAAAGAAGAATTTTGAAGAATTTTTTTCAACAACTTAAAGTCAAAGAATTTGAGGCTAAATGTTGCGAAAATAAAAAATTTCCATTCCAAAATTGCACAATAAAAGAAGAATCATAAAAAAAAACTCATCAGAAATTTACAGCAGGCAAGCAAAAAAAAATCAGTATCAGAACACATTATACGAATAAATGACGAAATTATTCATTTTTGAAGGCTTCCGACCGGTTCAAAAGACCTCTGTAGATGGATAAAAGACAGTGATATATTTGCATATGCTAAAATGTCCTTTTGATAAATACGCACAAACTTCCAAATTTGATAATAAAGATTCTCGTAAATTATGGAACAAAATTATCGTCCATTTATCTCATGACGCTGTTCATTTTTTAACATGAATAATTTTACATTTGTTTTATTTCAGAAACAAACAAAAAAAAACTTCAAAATTACTTTATTCCATTTTAAGTTGTTGTAAAAATCTGGTGCCACCCAAAATTTATGCTAATAAGTATAAGCGAGAAAATTTATTTATTATGACTGTCTGTGCTTTATTGTCATTTTAGACTTCTTTAAAAGTTTTTTTTTTGAGAAATTTATTTGTGTACATGCCGAAAGGTTAAGGAAGTAATTTGCGGCATCTGGTATAAATTTGTGAGACAATAAATTACCTATCATAAGAAGTGAGATGGTAAGGTGTGTAGATGGCTGTCCTGCAAGACCACTCGCACCCCAAGCAGCACCGCCAAGAGCGCAAGCAACACCTCCTAATGCTATCATCGCTATTATACCTAATGATCGTGGACTGTGGAAAAATTGACCGCAACATCCTTTTCGTCCGGAGTGCTCCGATGGGGATCTGGAATGGATAGAGAAAAAAATTAATCAAAAATTTGTTACTGACACGTGCGTTAGTATTGCTGGTAGTTATTTTTGTGCTTCACATTTTGGTTCAGAGTTGATTTATATGAAAATTATATTAAATCTGGAGAAATGGCATCAGTGGCCTAAGTGGTAGAGCATTGACCTTACGAGCTAAAGGTCCTGGGTTCAATTTCAGAACAAGTCGAATTTTAGAAACTCTTTTTGCATTTCACAGTTCTAGTTACGAAGCTCGGTTCATGCGTTGGGTAAAGAGGATACAAGGAGGCGACATAAATCATATTTGGACTATAATTTGACAAAATTCAATCCCCGGGGGGTTTGAAACAAGGGTGTGGTACTCCTTTAATGTCGTTATGTTATGACGTCCAAAATTAACGGTAATTTTTCAAAAAAAGACAATGAATTTTTTGGAAATTCTATTTTTCTTTTCTTGCTGAACCCCCCCCCCCCCTCTGGACGTAATAAATGAACAATTCCCAAGATGAAGACTTTATAGCGACAAAGATCCAAGCATCTCTAAAATCATGCAATGTTCTGTCAAAATAAGAAAAACTGCAGAAGTCTGTAGTGCCATATGGTAAATATTTTATTAAGATATAAGTCTTTCTTAAATGAAAGCATGACAAAATTTATTAATTAAAAATTTGTTCGTTGTCATGTTCAATTTCGTTGCTGTCAGTTGTGCTTTGAACATCTAAATTGGAGAGTCGATGATTTTTTTTATTTTGGATTATTTTTTTATAAATTTTGCATTTTCAGCTCTGAATGATGAAAAGTGGTGAAGTTGTTGGCTTGAAGGTCTTTTAATTCAACGGTTGCGAGTTTGATTTCTGAGAAAATAAGGTTCAGGAACAAAATTAGTAAAATCTGATGTCACTTTCAACAAACTATTTATTTTAGTATGGTAAAGTACATAAAAAGGTCCAGGAACTGATTTTATGGCTACCAGTTGTATCATATCTTTAATTTGAAATATGAAGCACTTTATTAATGAATTTGACTGAGAATTGGTTACAATACCTTGAGCCGAGCCCCAGGAGCAACAAAACTCGTATTAAAGTTTAAAGATTCCAATAAATCCTTAAAACATTTCAAATTATTAAGAATTATGAACCTATTCCATTAACAACTCTAGAATCAAAAGTTCAATTTTTTTTTTGATGAAAATCATTTCAAAACAACCTTGTTGACTTGCCAGTCTGCAAATATTTTGCTCAATCGAATAGCAATCATCATGCATCTGATGTTTCAATATACAAATATTTTCAGGTTGAGCTATCAAAAGTTCTAACATAAAATCACATAATTGAACTTTAGAAATATTTGTGAAAATAGAATTTTAATATCCTGTACACATGTTTCAATAAATTGCATGTTTCATCGACAGTAGCATATGCTGAGATGCAATTGAATATTAATTTTTTTGTGTAACGCCCTCAATATTTTCGATCATATTTTTTTTCCTTTCAGAACGGATATTAATTTGAGCATTTTACTGCTTCTATTATTGCGTGTCGGGTCAATAACAGAACTATAATATCGAAAAGGAGGAATAAAAACTGTTTTATATGCTCTAGAGCAGTAACCCTTTTTTTAAAATGTATAATAAAGTTTTTACTATGTCAGATTCTTAAAAAAAACTTTTCTACTAAAATAAAATTGTTTAGTGAAGATGAAATATGAAAGGTTTTTGACACCTGGCAGCTGACACTCAAATTTCATACGTAAAAACTGATATTGGGGAAAAAATAAGGTGAGTTAATAGAGAAGAATTATGGATTGAAATACTGGAATGAGATGCTTCAATATGGCATAAAGAGGTTTATTGGGATTTTATGACTGCTTTAAATTGAGATAAATTGGAAAGTTTGAAGTATTTTGAAGAGATCTAAAAACTGAACTAAGAGATACACTGTCCCAGGGGCGATTTCAGAAGGTCGTGGACTAATTTTTGCAAATTTCTCTATTTTGCTAGGGTTTAAACAGAAAAATCTTCAAATTTAGGTTTCAAATAAACTAAGGCTCTCGTTTCGATCTTCTGTTTGCGTGACGTAAAACTTTTCAGGCCCGTTCTAACAATATTCCATTCGTGGGTAATCCTGTAGCTCTCGTTCCTATTTCTCCAGCTACACTTCAAGTTCCTGATCCGTACCTTAATCCAAAGTTGCCAAAATACAAATTTAGAAATGGCTCGATTTGAATCAACGACCTTCGAGTTACCATCCCAAATTTGAGCCAAGCGCCTTACCTATTCGACCAGCATTGCACTTAACTGCTTAAGTGAGATTGTTATCTGAATTTCGAATTAAGTAAGCTAGACTTACTGGACCCCAAAACTACACTCAACTGGCATTACTGTTAGTAATCAACAAAGAGAATATATAAGCTGTGTTTTTAGATCCTAAAATAAAATTACCTTAAATAGAAGTAAAGAGCCACTTCAGCTCACAAAAAATATTTTATGATTCCAAATTAATTAAGTGAAAATAAATGCTAAATTTAAATATTATAGAATCAGCTACTGAATTATATTCTGACTAGATAAAGCCACAAAGTAGAGTTGTGAAGGTCGACAGAAACGGCCGTGTCAAAAATCACAACTCTGATACAAAGTAAAAGCTTGTAAATAGCTTGTAAATATCTAATCCACAAAAACCTTATCAAAACGTAACCAGGAGGGTCTTGTCCCTGTCTTAAGTGTTTTAGGTCGTGCTCTCGCTCTGGTTCAAAACGTTTAAGGGGGGGGGGGGGGGGGAGGGCTCCTGGCTACTTGCTTGCATCAAATATTCAGTTTATTTAATGACAGAACCACATATCACTGTAAGTTTAATATATTTCCATTACACAGCTATTTTAGAATTAAATGTCCCTCGATTTTACTGGTAAAAAAAATCACTTTTGAAAAGTCTTCCCAAAAATTTTAAAATTAATACCCTTCTCGGAAATAAGCTCCATTCAATCACATAAAAGCAATTTTCCAATATCACTTCCACAAAACATACAAAAAAAGCTCCCTGTGATGGTCATTGAAAGTCATTGATGATGAAAATGTACACTATCAATAACATGTACACGAGCATAAGTGAAATTCATTGAAAAGCTGATTAAATTGAGCAGAAAATCAACATTGAGAGAACGACATCGTCAATGCATGAGTGAAATTGAGAGCGGATGATCAACGGCATCAGTAGCTGTGCTATATGTGCGATTTCATTGAGCAATAAGGAGACATAAAACTTTATTATCAGGAAGCAGCGGCAGCAATAGTGGCTTAAAAATAAATGTATATTTAATAACAATATACAGGATATGTGTGTGATATGTTTGTATGCATCCTCATCATGAACAAGGATTGATAACAGCATAAAAATTTATGGAAAATAAAATTTTTAGCCTCGACAGCAACAAAAGAACTGAACGCATTGTTGTGGAAAAAAAACGCACTAAATTTTTCATTATTTTTTTTGTCTCTATTGATGTTCATCGCCTTTATCATCATTGCCGTTATGTCATTGACAATTTATCGTGTGACTGAAAATGAATTGTTCATTGAATTTATTTGTTCATCTGTCATTGATGCTCCAATTATTATTGCTGATGCTGTTGATAAGCTTGGAAACATTGTTGTTCAACATTTTATGGCTGTTTATTTTATTTTAGTTCTAGACTTTTTTAGGTGTTATAAGACGCTCTTAAGGCAGTGATGGTCAACCCTTTTGCCGCGGTACACTTGTGTGATGAGAAAAAAAATTAGGAAATCCCACGATCCGAATGCTGTGTACGGTTTTGTGTATAGCTTACCACCAAGGTGTGCCGTGGCTTGAAAAAGTTGTGCATCACTGCTTTAGCTAGGCAATAGTTATTAAAAATTTCAAGCAATTTGATGCTTGTTTTGACATAAAAACACAATTGCACCTCCTTAATAATTTGGTCCTTATTGGTGGTCATTATTTAAACATCTGATTCAATGCTTTCTTACTTCGCTGGCCGTACAGATTAATTGTGATCCATGGATCTTAGATTAAGGTTGACGGCTTGCTGGGCCAGCACAACCTATAAACAAGAGCATCAAGAACGTTTGTCTGCGCTCCAATATATGGCTTGGATTAAAGGCCTCTACCACGAGAAGTTGAGGTTAGGTTATGTGCAGCACATGACTTAACAAGCCAATTGCTTCTGATTCAATGCTAATCATTTTAAATTAATTTAATTTAAACAAACAATTCACAACCTCGTATCACGAACATCTTCTTATCCTAAGATCGTTTAACTCATGTTAACCTTCGCCGTGTTCATTGTCTCATTAAAATATGATTGACAACAGTTTTAATGAATTATAATATGAAGTGTCAGACAAACAAAGCAAATAATACAACAAAAAAAGTATATTGACCATAAAAGCAATGTCAACAACCGAAACAGAGGCCATAAATGTGATAAGAATTCGCAATTTAATTGAATACTCAATTGTATATAAATTTATAACATTGACACACTAAGGTCAGCCGATGGCTTTAAATAGAAATTCGCAAAAAAAGTAAACAAAAAAAAATCGTAGTTGTGGACATACATGGAATATTCAAATGATTACGAATATTTTGAAAAGGTTGCATTTTTGCTGCTCGCATCGCCTTAATTACGAAAAAATTAATTTTAATCAATTGATTTTTTTTTCCGTGCGACACATGTGACAATTAAATTGAATGTTAAATAATTTGATTTACGTAACCTTTTTTGAAGCACACGAGCTTTTTTTATTAATTGAATTTTTATGTTGGCATTAAATGGAATATTTTTGCATTAATTGAATTGAGTTGGATGGAATTATTTTTTTAAAGGTGGTTTGACATGGGGCTGGTGGGATGATTGACTGTTTTAAGGGATAGTTCTCAATGGTGACCCTATGTTAATAAGGTTCCTGATTTTACTATGGGGTCGTTCACTTATGACGTCTGAAATTAACGGTTAATTAAC